CCCTTAAGCCTACATGATGCTTAAAAAAATAAAACGTAACTTCAATAACTATATTTTGAATTCTCTTTTTCACAGTGAGAAAAATAAGACTATTACATGCAATTAGTTCCACTCCAAACATATAAATACAATCATTCACCTTATAATTTTTTCAACAAAACAAGGTGTTGCAGAGATAATAACAAATTCAAAAATTTTTCCAGAGAAGTATATTTGACCAGGTAGTCCAAAACATTGCTAGATTACTTCGTATTGTTTGGCAGTAAGCTATTGTTACCAATCAATCTAAAGAGAAACTTTCAAATTCTTATTTTTAATCAATATATATGAAATGTTCCTTTACTGGGTAGTGTTCCTTCACTGGTTGGTTTACCCTATATGACATTTTATTTTTCCTCTTTCTAAAAGTTTTGAAATATTTTGATGTGGTCAAATAATATTTTGTAATATTATAAATATATGATATACACACATATATATGTATATATATTTGTAATAATTTTATAAAAAGTAATATTTTGCTTAGTAATTAAAAATAAAGTGAATAATTTCTTTCATGGATTAAAAAAATATTTTTTTACATTCTGAATAATTCTAAATGAAATTATCATCAAATTATTATTTATAGTTCAACTCGACAATATTTTCGTTTTTATCTTAAATTTTGGTGTTAAAAACATCAATTTCAACATTATGTGAAAAGACACCACAAGTTATTTAAATTTATAATAGACTAAACATAAAAGAAACAATACAATGAATCCAAGGAAAAAATCAGGAAGAAATATCTTCCCATCATCATCATCTTTTTTTCACAGGCCCAGTCTTCTATCCTATTATTATCTTCTTTAGTATGAGGTGATATGAGCACACACAATAAGCGAAGAGTTAGAGCATCCCACAGTTTAATATAAATGTCTTATTTTTTATACAAATATTAAGCTTCTTCATACGTAATCCAATAAGTAATTTTAAGTTTATTTGTAAAAAGTAATTTATTTTAAAAATTTCTATTCAGATTTTGGATGTTTCCGGCTGTTGTTCTTAAAAGAATGGTTATGGGTAATTTCTCTAAAGGATATGTGGATGCCTCCATTGCAGATTCTATAGATTTTATGGTTGAAAAGGTAAAGATATATATATTTTTTTAAATAAAATTGTTTACTTAGAAGTTTTTAAATTTTTTTTTACTTATAAATATTGTTATTAAAATATTTTCTTGCCTTTATCAAATACATCTTTTTATGTTATATATTTTTTAAAACTTTCCCTGTATTTTGAAAAGTGTAAACTAAATATCACATGACACATTTTTCTTTTCAAATTTGGCAGCAAGGAAGGTAATTTATGATTAAATTATAAGCAACCTTATTCATACTTCATAATTGGATTTGTTCTCTGTACCAGAAAACAATTCAGTACATTGTCACATATCTTCTTCATTATCAAATATAAACTCAATCTTTTGTTTATGGCTGGTAAAACAAGTGAATCAGAAAGACGAAATTCCTTATACAAGTGCCGTAATCAAAGGGTAAGTATCAAATAAACATCACATCAAATATCGAAATTTGTATTTCATTTGACTATGTGTCATATATATATAAATATACATTATCAAATCTAATATAAATTCCTCCAGTACATTATCAAATGAATTCCTTTTTGTGTTCTAGTAATGCTTCTAAAATAATATTAGCTAGAATTGAACGCTAGCTAGATTATTAAAATTAGCTAAAATAACAAAATGTATTTTAGATCATTTAATATTCATCTGATAAGAACTTTGATATAAGCAATAAAAATCATTTTATTTACTGCCCCTTAAAAATAAATAAAAAGAACATCTATGTTCTTTATTATATTGCAAAACTAGCTGTTTATTACTAACTTTCTGTACAGTAACCATTAAGACTAGTTTATGGGTAGCACAGCCGACTTGTAATGATGGGGTAATGGGTTTGAATCCGGCATTCGTCACATTAGGTTTTACTTGCATGCAATTTCTAATTTTATTTTTCTGATACACAGTACCAAGCCCATATATGGACACTTGTTTATCAGAATCGGCTACTTTACCCACACCTATTATTTATTCTGCTTCAATAAGTACATTAAAAGAGTTGCTGAAAAGATGAGAGAAGTTAAAGAAAAACACACATTTGTGAGAAAAATAACCTATGAATGTTTAAAGTGTTTGATAAGAACACCAGCAGACCAGCAGTGTTTCTCTTTAAATTATGATTGTTTTTATTAAATTATATTAATTTACATTTGAAACATTAGGCTTTTTTAATGTTATTTTTATCTGATTATCTGCCTAGTTAATTCATTACATGAAATGAGTTGTTTTAATGCTGAAAATTGTAGAAAAAAAAAGTCTACATAACTTTCAAATTGTCTTCATTGTCTCTTTCTACATAAGGTGATCTAGAAAGCAAGTTTCATTTTTTAGTTTGATTAAATCAAGCCCAAACGTTGTTTCTATTGAACCAAGTGAGAAGAGGTATTTTCAGATTACTGACTTATGCAGCATTTGTTTGATGAGGAAATTTCGACAATAATATAAAAATTTTAATTAAAGACCATCAAGCATCTAGCTGCACACCAGAAATGGTTTTTCCATGTGAGGAACACCTAAATTTATAAAATTCCTTGACAACTTCCTTTGTGAATTATACAGAGCTAATGTGTAGAGAACAATGCAATGTTGGAACAATGCAATAAGCAATGGGAAGCTTTAAGCTGGTGCTAATCTTGATTCAAACAAAAAGTTTTCCCCACATTACTTAACAAAAGAAAGTGCATAATAAGCAATTTCATAACTGTTTTGCCCAGAGGTTGAATGTTAAAAAGGTTAATGTTTATCTCATAGAAAACTATATTTCAAATTTGCTCTAATAATTTCTCTAATAAGTTTTGATTGATTTTTTAAATATTAGTCGAAATATGACTTGTTAACATTACTTACATTTGATTCATTACTTATTTTCTATAGCTTGAAACCTTGTCTCAACAAGAGCTTGCATCTCGTTTAACCCTCACTTGTATGAATTGCTATGTGGAGCCTCAAAAACTGCGAAGCATTCCTATCACAATAGTTGATGTAAGAAATATATCCTGTTTTTATTACAATTAAAGCAAAATGTTGCACAAATGTGTCATGGTAATGCTATTCATTTAAAAATTAAGTTAAATAAGATTTGAATACACAAGTTTTAAATGTTAAAACTAAATTATATTTTTGATTAATTCATTGAAACTTTAGATAATACAGAATATGTATTTAATGTCTATATTTGGTATTTTCAGCGGTCTACTTCGACATATTAGAAATTTGCTATATTGTAATAAAAAATAGCAGGTTTATGCACCAAGATATATGGTTATTATAAGGCAAGTATTGTGAATGATTTAAAGAGTTATATAATAAGCAGTGATTAAAATAATAAAATGTCCTCAATGGCAAAAAAGAAACTTGTCCCGGGGTTTTCGTCAGATTTCAACATTTTATGACACTTTTCAACAGATTTTTAAAGTGTCATATTTAAAACCCAACCCTGGTTAATAATTTAAATTCGTGATAATAAATTGTGTGTATCAACTTAAAAAATGTTTGTAAGAGTAAAAAGATTGTTTTTTTTCTTCTATTGCTGTTATTAAAAAAAAAAAACTTAGCTTTAAATGCTGTTATTAATGGAGTATGGTCAATATTTTTACCATCTTCTTCACGAGTCATTTCCTAGGTTTAGTTATGTATATTATCNCCTGTATTTTGAAAAGTGTAAACTAAATATCACATGACACATTTTTCTTTTCAAATTTGGCAGCAAGGAAGGTAATTTATGATTAAATTATAAGCAACCTTATTCATACTTCATAATTGGATTTGTTCTCTGTACCAGAAAACAATTCAGTACATTGTCACATATCTTCTTCATTATCAAATATAAACTCAATCTTTTGTTTATGGCTGGTAAAACAAGTGAATCAGAAAGACGAAATTCCTTATACAAGTGCCGTAATCAAAGGGTAAGTATCAAATAAACATCACATCAAATATCGAAATTTGTATTTCATTTGACTATGTGTCATATATATATAAATATACATTATCAAATCTAATATAAATTCCTCCAGTACATTATCAAATGAATTCCTTTTTGTGTTTCCTTTCTAAAGTAATGCTTCTAAAATAATATTAGCTAGAAAGGTTATTAAAATTAGCTAGAGTAACGAAATGTATTTCAGATCATTTAATCTTCATCTGAAATGAACTTTGATATAAGCAATAAAAAATCATTTTATTTACTGCCCCTTAAAAGAAATAAAAAAAGACATCTATGTTCTTCATTACATTGCAAAACTAGCTGTTTATTACTAACTTTCTGTACAGTAACCATTAAAACTAGTTTATTGGTAGCACAAATGTCTTGTAACAATGGGGTAATGGGTTTGAATCCGACATTCGTCATGTTAGGTTTTACTTGCATGCAATTTCTAATTTTATTTTTTCTGATACACAGTACCAAGCCCATATATGGGTGCTTCAGAATCGGCTGCTTTACCCACACCTATTATTTATTCTGCTTCAATAAGTACATTAAAAGAGTTGCTGAAAAGATGAGAGAAGTTAAAGAAAAACAAACTTTGGTGAGAAAAATAACCTATGAATGTAAATGAAGCTGAATATTAATAGTGTTTGACAAGAACACCAGTAGACAAGCAGTGTTTCTCTTTAAATTATGAATGTTTTTCTTAAATTATATTAATTCACATTTGAAAGATTAGGCTTTTTTAATGTCATTTTTATCTGATTATCTGCCTAGTTAATTCATTACGTGAAATGAGTTGTTCAAATGCTAAAAATTGTAGGGAAAAAAAGCCTACATAACTTTCAAATAGTCTCTTTCTGCATAAGGTGGGTGATCTAGAAAGCAAGTTTCATTTTTCAGTTTGGTTATATATATCAAGCTCAAACGTTGTTTCTGTTGAGCCAATTGAGAAGAGGTATTTTTAGATTGCTGACTTATGCAGCATTTGTTTGGTAAGGAAATTTTGACAATAATTAAAAAGTTTTGGTCAAAGACCATCAAGCATCTAGCTGCATGCCAGATATGGTTTCTCCATGTGAAGAACACCTAAATTTATAAAATTCCTTGACAACTTCCTTTGTGAATTATGCAGACACACTGTGTAGAGCGATTGCATTGTTAAAAGAATGATCAATGCAATAAGCAATGGGAAGCTTTTAGCTGGTGCTAATCTTGATTCAAACGAAAAGTTTTCCCCACATTGCTTAACAAAAGAATGTGCATAATAAGCAATTTCATAACTATTTTGCCCAGAGGTTGAATGTTAAAAAGGTTAATGTTTATGCCATAGAAAACTATTTTTCAAACTTGCTCTAATAATTTCTCTAATAAGTTTTGATTGGTTTTCTAAATATTAGTCGAAATATGACTTGTTAACATTACTTACATTTGATTCATTACTTATTTTCTATAGCTTGAAACCTTATCTCAACAAGAGCTTGCATCTCGTTTAACCCTCACTTGTATGAATTGCTATGTGGAGCCTCAAAAACTACGAAGCATTCCAATCACAATAGTTGATGTAAGAAAATCCTGTTTTTATTACAATTAATGCAAAATGTTGCAGAAATGTGTCATGGTAATACTATTCATTTAAAAATTAAGTTAAATAAGATTTGAATACAAAAGTTTTAAATGTTAAAACTAATTAATATTTTTAATGAATTCATTGAAACTTTATATAATATAAAATATGCATTTAATGTCTTATATTTGAAATTTTCAGCGGTCTACTTGTACACCCGACATACTAGAAATTTGTTATATCGTAATAAAAAATAGTAGGTTTATGCACCAAGATATACGGTTATTATAAGGCAAGTATTGCGAATGATTTAAACAGTTATATAATAAGCTGTGATTAAAATGTCCTCAATGACAAAAAGAAACTTGTCCCGTGGTTTTTGTCAGATTTCAACATTTTATGACACTTTACAACAGATTTTTAAAGTGTCATGTTTAAAACCCAACCCTGGTTAATAATTAATTTAAATTTGTGATAATAAATTGTGTGTATCAACTTAAAAAATGTTTGTAAGAATAAAAAGATTGTTTTTTTTTCATTTGCTGTTATTAAAAAAGAAACTTAGCTTTAAATGCTGTTATTAATGGTGTATGGTCAATATTTTTACCATCTTCTTCACGAGTCCTTTCCTAGGCTTAGTTATGTATATTATATTTGTAATCATCACTGTAAAATTATTAACAAAGCATGATAATTGTCTTCCCTTTTAAGTTTATTATGCGTCTCAATGTTAAAAATTTATTCTGATATTCATTGTTAGAATAACTTATAAACATTAATAAGTTGATTTAGTAATTGGAAAATGATTATTTTTATACATAGATAACACACACATGTGTATGTTAGTGTAGTCTATATATTTTTTTAATTGGTTAATCATGTAAAGTAATTCTTTTTAAAACAGGTTTTTGATGACAGTGCATTGAGCATTGCAGCACGTGAAGAAATGTACAAATTTTATCCTGATGCTAAACGAGCTCATTTGAAGAAAGGAGGAAACTTTCCTTACTTAAGTTGTAGTGAAGAAGTGAATCTACATATTCAAGTATGCATTTTGTTTCCTTTCATAAGTTCTTACTGTTTTTTAAAGGTGTATATGTTAGACATTAAAACCTGTAACATTTGTTAGGTACTAAATTTTGAAGTAGACGGGATACTTTCAAAGATCCACTTGCTTTTTAAAACAGAAGGTTAAGGTTGACATTAATTAAGGTTGAATATTAAGGTTGACATTTTCTTAATAAAAAGCAATTATTCTAAAAGGTCTATAAAAAGAACTTTTATTTATAAGTATTTTCTTTTTTTTTTAAAATTAGAGTCATGTGTATTGCTTCTTTATTAAAAAGTTATAATTGTTTTTTTTAAATTTTTTTTTTTTACATTTTACCTTCAATGTAGCAAAAGTTTCTTTGTCCTTAAACTTCTTACCAGACAATAAACATTTGGACAGCCATGCAAACGCCTATATTCTTTGTCCTGATATATGTCGTACTCCTACTATTAAATATTGTCTTACTAGCGCCCTTAAAGTAAAACGTGTTTTAAACAGTCACGTACAGTGTGCAAAAAAAAAAAAAAAAAGACCACCCTGAATAACTTTTTATTTAATGATCGGATCTTCACATTCTAGGAACTCAATCTTAATGGCTCAAGGGGGTTACCTCAATCAATTATGCAAATTAATAAGTGCAGACGATATTTTAAGTCACCAAATCAGACACAAAAACGTAATTTCTCTGATGTAACATATCTTTTTTTCCCCGACGATTTGAATTTTTGAGCCCAAAATATAAGGCGTAACCCTAATCTGGACAATATGGTCCCAATAGTTTGTTCTGGAGAGCGGACCAAAGTTTGATCACTTAATTTTAATTTTTAACGTATTTCGCTACATCTTGAACATTTTTTAAGCGAATTGAAACATTTTTGTACACAATTATCAAATTCGTTTGCCCAAAGATAATTCCATGCAAAAAATAACCTGTATTAAATATTCATTATTATTTTTTATTTAATAATCATCGAAAACTTTTGAATTGTAAGGCCTACAATTTTTTGCATCATTTTAAAGAATATAATTTTACATTGAAAAATACAAAGTTTGAGCAAAATCGGTGAAATAGTTCCTGAGAAATCTAATTTTAAATATCAGACTTTTCAACTGATTTTGCTCAAATTTTGCATTGTATACCTTACAATTCAAAATGTTTGCAATCATTATGAAATAAAATAATAATTATTTAACAAACATTATTTTTTGCATGGAATTATCTTTGGACAAACGAATTTTATAATTGTGTGCAAAAATCTTTCAATTCACTTAAAAAAAAAATTTGAGTTATAGCGAAATACACAAAAAGTTAGAGATCAAAACTTTGGACTGTTCTCCTGACCAAACTATTGGTACCATATTTTTCAGATTGCAGCTACACCTTATATTTTAGGGGTAAAAAATCCAAATCTTTTAAAAAAAAAAAAAGAATGTATATTCAGAAAATAAGTATGGTTTTGATTAGTAAAAAAAGTAAGTACGGTTTTGGGCCTAATTTCGTAATTTAAATTATCGTCTGCACTTAATAATAGGCATATTTGAGGTCATCCCTTGAGTCTTTTTGATTAAGTCTTAGAACGTGAAGATCAGCTCATTAGATCAAAAGTTATTCAGGGGAAGTGAGCTGTAATTGTTGGAACGTGTCCAGATAAGCAGACACATGAAAGTGTGAGGCTGAGTTGATGTACTCTGAAACAATTGTTTCTATCTTACCTTGACTACAGCTTCTTGATGTTTCGATTTTGTTACAATATTATCAGGCATGTTTTTTCACCAAAGTTTTCAATTACCAAACTAGAATTCTTTAAAAAAATTAATGAAAAAAAGTTTAATTAGCCTCTTTTATTAAAACACTTTTTAACATTTCTAAGAAGCAATCAAAACTTGTAAATTATGTTCTCTTTAAAGTTTTACATCTTGTTGAATTCAAACTAGATGATACTTGTTTTAATGACTGCAATATTCAAGAACAATTTGTCAAATTTTATTTAAAGCATGTAAGTTTTTTTCATGAAATTTTTTTTTTTTATTTATTTTAAATTTCAGATTCATCTTCGTCCATTTGAAGGTACAAAAGTATCAGCTTGTGAAGGAGCGTCTGTTTGTAATGAGGCTATTGATAGTCTGGAAGATTTGTAAGATTCTTAAATATTGCTTTCAACACAATTTTAAAATGTTATGACCTTAAGAGTATTGCACAAATTCTAATTGTTATATCTTGCGTAATTTTTTAACTGTGATATGTCACGACAGTTTTGTAATAAATATTTTTTGTAGAAATATGTGTCTTTGAATGTGAAAAGCTAAATTATTGTTGAAAGATTATAGGAAAAAAAAAGAAGATTAATTTGAAAAGTGACTTTTTGCTAAGTATCAATATGTTTAGATATTTGATATTAATATTATTAAAACCCTAACGAGGAGTGCCTCACTTTCCTAAACATAAAATATTCAGTAGGCTGAATATTGTTTTATAAATTGAATGGCACCATACAACAATAGCGAACATTTTTATTGTTTAAATAATCTAAAACAAGGAGGAAGTGACCAAGGTAATTCATTTGTTAAAACTGGGTGCTCATTAAACTGAGTCTGCAAATGTGTGGTTTTTTGTTTTCAATTTCTTTGAATATTGTTAAATGAACAACAGAAGTGGCATTAAAAATTCATTTTTTACATTAACCAATTGGAATTGCATGTTGATAGAATGAATGCTGAGCTTTTAAAATTGTAAACCTTTATTGTTCAGCTATATATATTTTTTTACAAATTAAATGAATCTAAACACTTTTTGTCTGGCGAATTTAACAAAATAATTATTAGGAATTTATGAAAAGGTTTTCATTTAATACAAGTTATGCTCATAACAATAGTTTTATTTTAGCTTTTTAACAGTAAATGAACCATTTATAATTTTTCTTCTTCTTTAAATCAGGGCTCGCAATGACAATTTTATTGTTTTAGAAATACTATTAGTTATGCTAAATCAGGGTTGCCACTCCACAGGGAAAACCTGGAAAATACAGGGAATTTAAAAATCACACGGAAAATGCAGGGAATTTTGATTTTTTCTTCACAAACTGGGAAAATACAGGGAATTTTGTTATTATATTCTGGTCTTTTAAAAAATGGTGACCACTCAAAGTGTAATCTATGGGATATTTAACCATGATATTTCAGCTATACTAAACTATTTAATTTACCATAGCATTATTTAAGCATGTTCAGCTCTTTTTCCAGCAATTGAAACTAATAAATATAGTTAGCCCAATATAGCTCACACAAGAGCACAGTAATTGTTGTTCCCTCTTATATTGCATATAACATGTACAGGGAAAACACAGGGAATTTTTTTTTCAGATTTGAGTGGCAACCCTGAATGCAGAAAAGCTATTTTATTTGCCGAGATATTATATAAAACAATATTACTAACGAACATTTGTGAATTATTCTTTTGTAATTAGTTCCAAAATTTCACTAGTTATTGAGTCGCCAAATCGATTCAATATCTACCAAGAGTAAATCTGAAGGTTTCATACACTAGGGAACCGATTATCCGGAACGATCGGGACCATCGCTATTCCGGATAACTGATTTTTCCGGTTTTCTGAATCGCTACAAAAAGCCTTTTTTTATTGTTAAACCCAACTAAAAAAAATTATATTTGGAAATAATCTTAAAAAGAAGAAAAAACGATGAAGTAATGCACTAATGATTATTTTCAAAATGATGGTAAGGTAAACATCTTTCAAAAAAGAACGAAAAATCCTAAAATCTTATGAGGAAAATTTTTTTATTTTTTTTATTTTTAAAAATGGTGGGAAAATTTATCGAAATTCGTTCTGGTTTTTTGGTTTTCTGATTTCCGGATAACGGGTTCCGTACTGTATTGTGTTAAATGTCTTTTATCTGAACTTAATGATATTAATTAAAAGGACGTTTAATTAATTTCAAATACAGGAAAACATGCAGTGGACCCCATATTCAAAATTCTTTGATTCTTGAATTAAAATCATTTTTCATCAATTTTCCAAAGAGATTAATAAATAATGAAAAAAAAAAAAAAAACGTTAATATATCAATAAAAATAAATAACTTGTTTTAAAATTACATTGAAATCTTAAGACTGTTTTATTTCATATAAAGAGCCTATCTTAAAACTCAATTTTCTATTTAAAGCTGAGTGTTAAGTATTTTTTTCAATTAAAATGTAATGCTTTTAAATTAATAAAAAAATTAATTTAATTTCAACTTGGTGCTTAATACATTATGTGGCTAAATTTAGCTGCAGTGATTAAAATATTTTAAACAAATGCTTAAAACAGATTGGAGGGCATATGATTTCTCAATTGAAAATTCAGAAATTTTGTTATAATTGATTTATCATTTAAAATAAACTCTACGAAAATATCATCCATATAATTTTGAAAAAAACTAATCTCTATCATACAAGATTTATCACTGTATCTTTTTAAAACAAATAAATGATTAAAAATTTTATGAACTTAAATGTTTTTCTACATCATAAATTTATGCAAGAATTCAAAAAATTCTCAAACAACAAATCACTTTTGCACAATTTGTGGATGGTCTCTTAGCTCAGCAGGTCAAATTTTATAATTGTGAATAAGTCTTATTTTAGAAACTAAAGGATTGATGATCAAAAGAAATATGTCAAATTTTTACAAAATTAACACTTTTTTTTAATGAAAATTAATGGTTTTAATTTTATCTCTTACAGCAGTACAATATTAAAAGCATTTAAATTATTTATCTGTTAATAAGAGAGAATTTTGACTCCTTAGTTTAGCCAAATTTAATTTAAAAACTGGCTATTCACAGTACCCTACCTTACAATAAGCTTTAAAAATAAAAAATAACATGGAATTTTACCCAGAACAGATAAACCATTAGGGTTGTTTATACATAGATTAACCAACTGGTTTATCGTCTAAAACAATTGATTAAATTGCCATTAACACTTGGTTAACGTCTCTAACTTAAAGATCATTCTAACCTTGTTAAGCTATTAAATTGACATATATACTCAATTTAAAAGCTTTTTGTTAAAGAAAATCACTGGTAGATGACACACGCAAAATCCAATAAAAAGAATTGTGATAAAATGAAATTGATTAAAATGCACACAATTTTAATCATAATTACAAATAACCATTAGCTACGAAAACAAGAAATAGTGATCTACAATTGCACATAATTACGATTAATTTAATCCTGATTATATGTAAATTTTAATCTATTACAGATTATTAAGTATTGTGTACAAGACAAATAATTATACTTATAATCAAACATATTTTGACTAAATTTGAATTACTGTGATTAAATTTACCACAGTGTTGGATTGAGAGTGCTTCCCATAACATTTCCTTTTTATGACTTTCATATGCAGTGAACTTTTCATTCAGTCATTTTCATGGGTATCTCAAATAAAAATTATAGCTTAATATCATCTGTGGTCTAAATGGTAATGAAGTTTGGGTCTATTAAGATAGCAGAATTAAATATTTCGAATGGATATCATTAGCAGCCTTAATGGACTAATCAAAACTTTGGTGTGCCATGAAGGTTGGAAAAGATATTAAATTATTCTAAAATTTTGAACAGATATATTTTTGTTTACAAATGGTAACTTTCAAGTGCTACTACAAGATGATAAAAAAAAGTAAAATAAATAAATAAAATTAACGATTTTTGTAAAAGAGAATGTTTGAAGTTTAAGAATTTTTAGTCACTCTTTGGCCTATTGAGACGACAGAAGATATCAATTCAGAGTTATAAGATTTTGTATGCTTTTAATAATTGACAATACTTTAGACCACAGATGACAATACTAATCATTAAAAGATTTAAGGTAATTTAACTTTTTTGACCTATTCTATGATAGATTTCTGAAATCAGGGAGAGAAAATTGAATAAATCAGATGTTATATTTACTACAATAATGTCAAATGAGTATTTTTAAAAATTTAATTTTTACGATCTATTTACAATCAAGTATCACAGTATCGATCAACAGTCAATAAATACAAATGAGATTCTATAACATGAATTTTCATTTACTAAAAAAACTGAATCATGCACTAATGAGATAAAAAAAAAATAGTTTCCTATGCATCTAAATGATTTTCATGGTAATGATTCATACTTAATTCATGTTTAAAAAACGTTAATTTTGTTTAGGGAACATCAACATATAATACTTTTAACTTACTATATTACTACATGCATTAAAAAAATGTTGATCAAATTATAAAAATGAGCAGCTAATTACAAATTGATTTTAACATCATCTAAAGCTCAAATTGTACTGGCTAGATGTTACACTTCCATTCCTTGCAAAGTTGGTCGCTTCTTGTTCCTCTTCTTCATCATCAAAATCTTCAGAATTATATCTCAGCAATTCTTCATCTGTATAGTGGCAACCAGTGTCTACAAATTTGGAAAACCTGAAACAAAATAGAAGCCTTTTATAAAATGTTTTATTAAAAACTAATTTTGCTGGATTGTGATTAAAGAATATATTTTAATAACTTTAGTAAAAAAGAATATTTAAATTTATATGGAGTTAACTGCAAAAGTATTGTAGAGCAATAATATTTACTACATTAAGTATAACAATTTGATTTTGATATTAATAAAAATAGGACCTTGCACATTGTCAAAGTGAAAAAATTACCAGTTGATGGTCTTGTTAGTTTAAATTTTAAGTAAGTACAATAAAGGAAATTTTTGGCAATCACATACACAATAAATTGATTTTCACATTGTTATGTGTGCTTGGGAAACAAAATTAATCTCCCTACCAATGCCCTATAATAACTTATTTAAAATTAATTGAATTACATGTTAATTTAAAATAAAATTAGATGAATGGAAATCAAATTCAAAAAATCGAAACTTAAATTTTGTGAATACTAAAAAACGTAAGCTAAATTATTGTAAAAACGATAGCATAGTATATTTTTGAATATTTTTCAAAAATAAATTTAAATATTTTATTAAATTTATGTAATTTGAAAGAGTTCTTTAAAGCTTCAAAATTATAATTTTCTTACAGTAACATGCACGCATTTAAAAGAACTCCATTTTTATCTATAAGGATGATCAGATATGATTAAAATCTAAATTAAATGATGTTATTTTAGAATGAGACATGTTAAATGTACATATATAGCTTTCTTTTATGTAAACATAGTAACAGAGGTTAGAAAAAGTATAACAAAGATTAAAAATAATTTAATAAGCGTAATATGAAATTGAATCATAACTGAAAATTATTTAAATTTTTTTATAAAATATTTAAAATCGAACCTGATAGGATCTTTCAATTGCCGAACCATTTTCCATGTGTTACAATCTGGACTACTACAAAATCTTCTCAATTCATCTAAAGCTTTCGCAGTCTCAATACTTCCCTGCTCAATATATTCTACTTCAGTTAAAAGTTTTATTTTAGGTGGAAATAAACGAAGCCTGAAATTAAACAAATTTTAGAGATTTTTTAACAACTGTAATGATAACACTACAACTCATTTGATAACATAAAATTAGAAGAAATGTAAAACACACAAAAAAATTTTTTTTTTGTATTAATAATGTGAAATGATTTCATAAACACATTAAAAATATTTACAAGTTTTGAAAGAAAAAAAAATATCAGTAAATAATAATTCAATTTTAGTGATGAAAATATACAAAAATAAATTTTAATATTTGTTTAAATGTTTTCTTTTTCAACTAAAAAAGTAGAAAAATATGAAGAAAAAAAAAATTATGAAAAAAATTCTTTAATTAAAATAACTAATAAAAAAATTATAACCTTTTCTCTTTTTTACATTCAGGGCACATCTATATTTTTTGTATAACTTTTTTCTTGCATTCTGAGGTAATTTGCCCTTATGTTAAATTTTATAGTGGTGTGTGCCTCTAAGATCAGGACACAGACCTTATGCATAAATAGAAAGTATAGTGCTTAATTAAAGTTATAAAGTAGTTTTATTATAATGTTTAATTGAGTTATAAAGTAGTTTTACACAATGAGTACAAAATTAAAAGGAAAAAAAATCAAACTTTGTAAAATATTTCACAAAAATGTATTTCTTACTGAAATTTAAGTTTTGCTTTATCTATTTGTTAGACAAAAAAGTGATTACTATCTATTAAAAATTTATTTTTATTTTTAACACCTTTAAGCATTAAATTGTCCTGCATTTCAAAATAAAGATGATGAGTCCATAAAAATAATTATTTTTGTAAAAAAAAAGTTATAAAGCATTACAATACCAAATTGTTTGCAAGCGAGAAATCCAACGAGCTGGAATGAGGTAGATGGATCCCAAAATTATAATGATTGCAGTTGAAACTTCTCGATATTCTGATCCAAGATAAATCAATACTAAAGCAATTAACTGAAAACAAAAGTAAACTATTTAAGAAGGAAAATATGTACAATAATCATTAGGAATTAAAATAGTAAAATCACCAAATTTTCAAGTATAAGAGAGTTGGTAAATCAAAAAATTCTTTTGAAGATTCATATATGCATATATATATATATATATATATAAATTTTTTTTTTTCAATGGCAGGCACTGAATTTTGTATCTTTGCCTATACTATGCCAGAATTGTTGCTCATTTCGCGTTACCCAGTGGGCACCTGTGAACCAAAGCCACGGAGGCGAGATATATGCATATATTTCAAGAAGATAATGTTAAATTTTATGAAAATTTCAAAATTATAATTGTAAAGTGTCCAGTTGCACAGGGTTGGCCAACAAAAACAAGGTACAAGAAAAGTGCTTAGAATAACAGAGAAGATTATTTTTTCACTCCATTTTTTCTTCAATACAGAACTTTAATTCTGAAACTAATAACAGACATGCGATTGCTAAAAGAAGAAATTATCTGAATTTTTTTTCCCAATGTGATAAAAAAGGATTCCAAAAACCTTGAAATCCATGGCAATAATTGAAAAAAAGAGATTAATTAAATGCCCATTTTGAAATTCATGTGTTGTAACAAATAATATATTAAAAATATAAAATAAATTTTTATTTTATTAAAAGTTTTAATTGATTAATAAAATGCGAGATTCGAAATTTTAATAATGTAAAATCATATTAATAATTAATTAGATCTAATTGTAGTTGTCAAGGAGTAAGAACGGGGGCATATATATCACATTGATTAAATAAGTCTTCGGTTACAAATCGGAATTTGCAACTAAATTGCTACTCATTACAATATAAGTTATTAAAAAAAAAATTAGAAAGAAAAGCAATTTTTTTTAGCGAGCGATCTTTTATACAGGGTGTGTAGCCAAATCTTTCAACAAAAGATAAGCACCTTCTAAGTACTTCTTAAGCACTTAAAAATATTTCGAAACACTATATCATTAACAAAATGCGCAATAATTTTCAAAGATATTACATAGGATCATGATAAAATAACTAGTTTCTAACGTAGAACTCTTTTCTTGATTGTATTAGCCATCATAAAATGATCAAGATATTTTTTCCCTTCGATATCAGAGGGTGGAAAATGAAGCCTGAAATTGAGAACATCAAGCAAAATGCAGCAGATTTACACATGAGAGTGCTAGAATCCCACCGAACTCAGCTCAGTAGACGCACATGCGGACTCGCAAGTACATACCTGCCAACTCTTCCGGATTTTCCGGAAGATTTTATTTTCATATTTAAAGTGGTAGTAATTATATACTATTTTTTCTTTCATAATCTTAATTTTTAAATGATATTGATCACCACTATTCTTACAAAAATTAAGCACATATATTAATATGCGTTACTATCATGGTTGTCAAATTAAGGTTTCTCAAATACAACGTATTTGTTTGCATAAAATTGAAGTTTTAATTCCATTTTAATACCACTGGGAAAAATGATAATGGAAGGGATTAAAAGTTGGCAGGTATGCAAGTATTACATCAAACATGTAAAATGATTACCGCTTTCATACACTATGGACCGACGATAGGCCGAAATGGATTGTTGTTGAATGTATTGTGAAAACGTTGAATAGAACAATGGGAAAATAAAGCTTTTGCATAATGTGTTGAAAGTCGACATGCTAAAGAAAAAAAAAATCTCTTTTCGAAAAGGGAATACCAAGCACTTTTTAAAAACACCCAATGAAAAAAGAACCTTTAAGGGCTTTTAAAAACGAAAAGAAGCACCTTTAAGCACTTTTAAAAAACGCTATGCACCATGTTTATCCTTTCGGAATTATTAATTAGATTATCAATTTTATACTTTTGTGTTTGCCTCAGTAGTTTCATTGATTTTATGAAATTTTTTCTGTCTGGTGTTTTTGAAATTTATATAAAGTTGTGTTTTCTGTAACAAATCTGAAAAAAAAAATTAATTGTAGCATGTGAATGAGAACTTAGATAAAAAAAGAGAAGAGGCTGCTGGTAAGGGTTAAATGAATGACTCATTAACAAGATTTTGCTTAAGTAACGGAATTTAAATTTAGAATAGCGGAATTTTAAATTTGGTTGGAAAATAAATTTATTGTCTGGCAGACGTCCACTAATCAAGTGTCTTGAGATTCCAGGAATTCTACAAATTAATGGAACAATCATATGCTTGTAATTAATAAATGAGTTTTTCTACACATTTTTATGAATACTTTGAACAGTGAAAAAATATTATTGAATGCCTTCTTTATTGTAAAAAATTACACTCACCACAATTTTATTTTCAGTAGGAGAGAATAAAAAGAATCTCCTCAAATGCTAAACCAATGAAATAAGACATAATTTCTATAATTATGGCTATTGAATGTTGCAGTGGTCTCAACACAGGGTTTCTTGAAAGGATTTCTCTCTCTTTCTCTTTTTTTTTTTTTTTTTNTTTTTTTTTTTTTTTTTGCTATCTTAAAAAGAAGATCGAATTTTGTGTTTAAAAAAAAGCAAAAACATTTTTCTATTACACTGGTATTTAAAATTTTCAGATTTGGTGATTATCACCAAAACTACATAATTTTGAAAAAGTCTGCTTAGCCTTCTATGTATTTGAAAAAGATACTATGATTAGTCAAAGGAGTAAGGATTAGGTTTTAGAGCACTATATTGCACATTCACACAGAGCAATTTGTGGGAAATAAAAATATTTGCCAGATCAATTGATCATCCAGATATCTAGATCAGATCTTTATTCTGGGCACAGCTTGAGACAATCCCTCTATGATAACCATCAAGGGCTTGAAAACTGCTTATTTCTATCATTATGTTCAGATTAAATCTTAATTTTTTTTTAATTTTGAACACTAGCTGAAAGTTTATGACAGAAATAAAATAAAAAAGGTCTCTCTATCAGAAAAGTTTCTCAGAACTCCTTTTTTCTTTAAAAACTTTCTAGCATTAGGTGGAAAAACTTTAATGAAATATTTTAAGGGAATTCTTTTAAATATTTGAATTCTGTTAAACATATGCTTAATTAAGAAGATTCTGCTGTGATTTCGGAAGCGAAATAAGAGAGTGGATAACAGTTTTCAGAAACAGGCGCAATGCCATTAAAAGAACTGATACTTGATAGCTGCTGAATTATTAAGGAGGTCAAATTCCAACATAGACATTAGTGCAAGAGAATAATTAAGTTAGAACTAATGATGTCTAAAAATTAATCATGGGCAATTTGGTTGTTAGAGATTTTAATGTTCAACACCTAATTATAAATAAAAAAAAGTTTAGATATAAAACAAAAAATGACCAATATGAATAACTATTTAGCTAGTATTACATATAATTTCATAGGATTGAAAACAATTTTTTAATGAGCAATTGCTTCATTGAAGTGCTTCAAGGTAGCAATAAAATTTTGATCGCTCAATGTATCCTACTTATGAAATATTTATAAATAGTAACTTTAATATAAATTTTTGTTAGATTGGGAAGGTGAAAGCTTAGAATAGGTTGCATTTTAATCAATACAGCACTAGGCATGGAGTTCTCCAATCACATAGCTGCCATATCTAGATTTCTATACCTCCTAAACTAGACAGAAAGCATTACAAATTCAAGAAAGCATTCAATAAAGAATAATAGCCAGTGTTCAAAAATGTTACTGTATTTTTTGGAAGAACAATTTTAGTTCTTCTTCTAAGAAAAGTACAAAAAAGGTCATTTTCTAAAAGAGAGAGAGAGAGAGTGGTTTAGGGATGCTCTGATGTATTTTATTTTTAAATACATTGAAATCTGAAGTTCATTAAAATTTGGTTGAAAACAGAACACTAAAATTCAAGTTACTCACAAAAAATTTGGAAAACAATATAGAATGAATAGCTTAAAATGATAAGCAGCTTTTTGGGTCACTAAACTATATATAGGGTATGATATAACTAATGGGGACAACAATGAAAAAAGGAAAGTGGAATGGAGGAGTAATGAAAAAACTTCATAGCAAATGCTTAAGTGAACCACTAACAGTTGTAACAGACTTCACATCCCTAACAATTGTAGTTTACAGTTACATAATAATTAGGCCAACAATATCTTCTGGCAAAGCGATGGGTGTCTCGTAACCGATGTTTTTTTAAACTCCCCAGCTAAAAAAAAAAAGAAAAAAAAAGAGATAGATAGATGGCCAATCTATTTGTTTGAAAAATCAATATCCAGGTAGTTACATACTATCCTACAGAAATGCACCTTCAAAGAAACAATCCTCTAGCAATCTGTCTTTTATTTTCAACCTAAAATAGTAAGGTGGAAGTTTTTGTTGTGACAAGTTGTATCATCTTTTATTGTAGTGATTTTTAGTTTTGCTTCACCATGTATATCTCAAATAACTGAATAAAAAAAGTTAGCTATTTTTATTTTCATCAATAATAATATTAAACCAATAATATTAAAGCAAAATAAAGTAGTCATTAGGTTTTAAACGTTACTGGAGGTGTCATCAGTGAAAAGTTGGAAACAGTATTTTTTAATCTAAATTAAAAATAAAAATGCCATTGCTTGATTTCAAAATACTTCCTAGTACTGCTTCATTGAGGAACGACAATCTAACCATGTATAGTCTAAAATTCAATATTTCAAAGATCAAACTTAAACATTATTTTTTTTTTGGCCAATGATGACCTGCTGAGTAAAAATTTTGCACTCTGCTTTAAATAGTTATACTCAAAATAATAATTTTAAAAAAAAACTGTTTAAAAATATATTATTCAAAAAAATATTTATGCCTTAAATTATTAAAATATTTGAAAAATTCAATTTGCAATTTATATGAAACTTTCAACGAAAACTTTTTTACCTCAGCATTTTAATAAAAATTTAAAATTGAATAATTTGAAAAGAAAAATACTTTACACTACTTGAATTTTAGTAAGCAAAAGCAATGTTTTCAGATATTTCAATTTACAAAAATTTATGATTTTAGTCAACAAACTAACATTATAACAATGGATTTAGTTACAAAATAACATAACATTATATTTGTTCACAAAATATAATTTTAAAAAAAATGGATGACTGTGCAGTTTTAATGTGTGACAAATAAAATAGAACGAAACAACAAACACTACTCTAAATTGATTAAAAATGTTCATAAATAACTAGCAAAATTAGAAATCACTATAACATACTTGCATGCACCCTTGTATGATTTTAAAAGTGCGAACATTTTCAACAGGTCCCAGGCGATAACACACAATGAAGCTAATCAATGCAGCACACAGGCAATAAATCAACAAAATATCCATGTAGTTAGAAACAATATCATTGAAGTGTTGCCACACATTTTGCAATAAATACAAGATAAAAGAATAACCAAAAACCACAACAGCATATGCATATGTAGATCTCTATAAAAGAAAGAAAAACATAGTTCCAATAAAAAGTACAAACAAAAATCATACATTATTTTAAAAAATATTATTATTTGAGAGTGTGAACAAATGACAGTGTGAGTGATGAAACAAATAGAAAAAACTGCAAGTTTTTTTCCTTTTAAAATTACTTATCTTGATCGACAATGTTTGCCAAGTGAACTAAAATGGAATACAATTTTATTTTTATCCAACCTAAAATGAAAACACAAGGCAAAAAACTTTTGAAAGAGGTAGAATTTTTAGTGGCAATAGAGGTTTAGTATGATAATGCTTCACTTTTTTCATTTTAGTTCAGAAAAGAATAAAATTTTATAACCACTATTAGAACCTTGAAAAATGCAGTTTTTTAATTATCTTTAATTTAAATATTTTATTTATTTTATTATTTTTTTATTTCAGTTTTTGGTATGAAACTTTGTTTATATAGAACTCATTGAGAGTGTTTTCTCAACACATAAAGTAGGAATGCATTAACATTTTGAATTAACGTAACGATATGGTGTTGACTTGAAATTTGCAACAGAAAAGAAAATTAAGAAAAGAGAGAAAATGTAATCACAGACCATTTGCAGTCTGATATTGGCTCAAACTTGCCACCATTTTCTTAACAGTGGAAAAATTTCTATAGGTGATAAATTTTGCTTGTAGAGGTAAGGCACAAAGGTGCAATTGAAATTCGAGGACTCCAGGTACTTGGAAAGTAGACAGAATTTTGATTGATAATGAATTCTATTTGACAATAGACTAATGATAAAGTCTGCTAGTAGCAGTCAGAAGATGATTGAACATTGTCATCAGGTGCAGAGGTGCAGCTGAAATTCAATCTATCTGGGTAATAGGAAAGTAGTTGAAATTTTGATTGTAGATAAATACTATTTGACAATAAAGTGACTACAAATTCTGCTATTCCAGAAACTATATGCAACTATATGTACCTATTAATCCACTCTTTTGTTGATTGAGATTATCAAAAGATGGTGATTAAATTGTTCTAGGTATTATCAATTATATACAGCTATGCATGCTTAACTGAAGAAAAAGAATGTTCACAGCAATGTTTCGATGGGTGTAGTTAAAGAGGCAAAATTCATTTTTTTAATCAATAGATCTTTCTACGTTCTTAAAATAAATGTCTTACACACACTATCTTATATATGCGAAAATAAAA